AAAAAAAAAAAAAAGAAAAGAAAAGAAAAGAAAAAAGAAAAGGCAAGGCCTGATCTAGCTCTGTAGACCAAAAATGAAATGTGGTCGGTACCAGGCATGACCTTGCCAACTTCAGCCCTGCCATTATTACAGGAAGAGATGTGAAGAGGCAGAAGTGCCCAGTGCCCATGGAAGCCATGGAGATAGAGAGAGGGGCTTGTGGGCCTGACTACCCAGCTAAGGCCCAAACACAGGCCATACGTCAGAAAGGCCCTCTGCCCTGAGGAAGACTGGCTGCACGGCCAGGGGAAGCAGCAAGGTCCCTCAGCAGCCCCCTTGGCCCAGTGCTGAGAGCCACCACCCTCATGGAACTGACATCCTGATGGTCACACCCCAGCCAGTGAGACAGGAGAGACAGTGGGGGAGATAAGGCCTGGAAAGGGACCATAAGGCATGGGCAGGGAAGGCAGGAACCTGGTGTTGCAAGGAGGGGCCTACAGAGCATCCCAGGAAAACCCAGGACAGCACTGAAGGAGGACACGAAGGGATAGATGCATAGCTGCTCCTCACCATGCTGGGCCAGGAACCCTGAACCCAGCCGCCTCTCAGGCCTGCCACACCCTGGGCGTGGCCTTGCAGGGCCTGGACAGCAAGGTGACAAGGCCTGACTGAACCCTTCAAGGACTTCAAGGGAAGGCGCATGAGGTGGGGCCAGGCGTAGTGACTCACGCCTGTAATCCTAGCACTCTAGAAGGCCAATCCTAGTGGGTGAATTGTTTGAGCTCAGGACTTCAAGACCAGCCTGAGCAAGAGAGAGACCCCATCTCTATTAAAAATAGAAAGACTAGGCTCGGTGCCTGTGGCTCAAGCAGCTAAGGTGCCAGCCACATGCACCTGAGCTGGCAGGTTCGAATCCAGCCCAAGCCTGCCAAACAACAATTATGGCTGCAAACAAAAAATAGCCAGGCATTGTGGCAAGTGCCTGTAATCCCAGCTACTAGGGAGGTGGAAGCAGGAGAATCACTTGAGCCCAGGAGTTGGAGGTTGCTGTGATGGCATGGTAGATGCCATGGCACTCTACCCAAGGTGACAGCTTGAGGCTCTGTCTCAAAAAAAAAAAAAAAAAAA